GAGACCTCTCCTTGCCTGATATACGGGCACGGGGACCACCCTTGATGATCAAATCCTGAATCTTCCAGTCGGCTTCACACAAAAATCATATTTATCGCATTACCTACCTGTACCGCTCCTTCTTCACCTTTTCGACGAACATTTGTTATTATTTTTTTATCTTGAACTACCCGGTATGGGCTGCACAAGTAATTGCCATACACAGTTAAATTTATATGATGGAAAAATTCCTGATCCTGATCATATAATGGAATAGATATGAATATATAATGAATATCTTCACTGTGATTTTTGTATTATATTTTTGTGTTTTATAGTAATATAAAGATACTACTATAACACAAAATAGAATAGACAGATATCTGTTTTACATTACAAGATTATATGTTATAAAAATTTTTGTTCATATTTCAAAATATTTTTTTATCAAGATATATTAATTTTGATAAAAATTAATTTAATTTATACAAGATTTTTTGTATAAATTTAATTAGGAATTTTGTCATTTTTTATGAAATCTATTTAAGGTCATCGGTACATTTTATAAAATCAAATCAAATCTAAAAAAAAACGTACAATATTACGGAAAAAACAGCGACAGACAGCGAAATAATGGAAAATTAATAATAAAATTAAAATAATGATCGATTGTTACTGTTTCCTATTCAAATCAAAACGAAGATGATGGCTCGAGAACCACGATCGGTTATTACGTCTCGTTCTGTTATTCCTTTTTATTTATAACTTTCTCCTCCCTGTTTCCCATGTAATGGCACTAGATGTATTGTGAGAAGGGTGTGTAGAATAGATGTAGGAAAGCAGCGGATCGAGGTCCTGTTAGACTAGGGCCATTTCTTCCCAAGGGATGAACGCCATTCAATAACTCAAATCCGACTCAATTTTGCGGGAAGAAAGTTTGCGCAGATTGTTCTCTATCATCCTCAATACAGACAACTGACGGCTGGTTTATTGACTTTTTGAATTCATCGTAATGCTATGCAATTTTATATTACAATGTATAGTACAGTTTAATATATATAAATTTAATTTAAAAAATTTTACAGTTTATGTAAATGTATTCTATATATAGGTATTCGAAATTAAATGTTTGAGAATAATAATATGAGACGCGTTAATTACTGTTATTATATTGCACAAGATGTAATACGCAAATAGTAATTAAGATAGGTAATTCTTGATGATAACAGAATTATCACCACCCCGACTCAAATCATAAAAAATTTTCTAGCAATTTTAAACACACCGTTTCGCACGGAGAAGAATGAGAAATGCTAGCAATGCCCACGCGCATTAAGAGGGCTGTAGGGAACGGCGCCGTAATGAATTAAGGGAAATCAGAAATTGCTTTAAATAGCACCGTAAAAATAAAGTTCGTTTAAAGAAGGGGAATCACAGGCGGGGG